AGATTCCTGTTTGAATGTATTTTTTTTCCCCATATAATAAACCTACCTGTAAAGCTGGCCTCTTTATAGTGTCGAGTAATAGCCCGGCTCTTGTAGCTACTGCTGGGTTGACATCTTCCACAGCAGTCAGGAAACAGCAGAATGCATGAGCCAAAGAATACTTCAGTAGGTGGTTTTTTGTCACAGAGTGAATGTCCAAAAATCTGCACATCACAGCCACTTTCTCCACTGTAGCAGCCATACCCCCAGACAAAGAAAATATGCATATTAAGTTAGGCTATGGCTTCTTTATGTCCTAATTAATACACCTCTCCAAGAAATATGCACATCTGAGAAAGTAACAAAAAAAATAGCCAGCAAATGTTGTAATTTTTATTTTACTTTGATTATCCAAAACGTCTCATGTTCTCCTCTATTTTACTGCATTGTTGCACCATAGTTTTGCACCAGACTATCTACAAAACTCCCCAAACCAACAAAAAGATAAACGTCTATTACAGGTCTCCTCAGTTACAGCAGAGAAAGCTCTACTTCTTCAGTGAAGCAAGAAAGAGTAAATAGCATACATTTCTCTGGCCTACCTGCTTCGAATCTCATCTTCCAATCTTTGCTGTTGAAATTGCTGTTTATGATTGTCCAGAAAATGTCAGCTCCATGGGGAAGCGAAAGTGCATGAAGAAGAAGTGGGACTGCCAGGGAAGAAAGCTGAGAGAACTCAGACTTCACAACTCCCCATAAGCTGGAAAGACCAAAAAGAGCATGCGTGCTTATAAAAACACTCCCTTGATATCCGTCCTTCTCAATGTCTGTGCTGTATTTTTGGTGGGAATGCACTTTTCACGAAAATCTCTGTGTGTCATCCTGGGAATTTAATGTGAATACTACAGAGCCGCTGGTAGGAGAACAGGAAGAATTGCAATTCTTCAACTACAGCAGTTTTTCTCAAAAAAATGGGTTTAAATATTCCTTACATTGAAACACTTCAGATTCAACAGGATTTTTCCTAATTCAAGGCACAACTGCCATGGAACGTAATCTATGCTTTGAATTAGCAGTTTCAGCATGACCAGCTTCAGTGCATAAGCCACATGAACTGTCTTGGCACCACGAAGCATGTGCATCCACAAATGACTAAGATGTCGGGTGCTCACAACTCGCTGGTATTTAGATTCAGGACAGACTCTCTAGTCTGCTAACAACCTGCGGTCTTGGGAGATGCTCAATGGAATTGATACTGAGAAGCTGTAAGCGCTGATGAACACGCTCTGCTTCAGAACATCATATGCTGATGTTTATTCAGGGAGCTTTCTGCAAAAGTCACTTTCTCCAAAGACAATCTTAAAAAGCACAGATTTCAGTCCAGTTCGTTTTGATACTAAATGAAAAAACTTCCTTTACCTCTTAAAAATAAGGTGCAGTACTGCACTGCACTGTTCTCTCAGCTTTAATGCTAACACCCTATAAACTGTGTGCCTGTCTCTACATCATCCTTTATTTTATTTTGTAGAGTCAGGAAAGATACCTCAGTCTCAGACAATGCTATTATCCAATATGAGAAACTCTCTTAACTCACTGAAAAACAAGTGGTGCGTGACACAGTCGCCATGATGGACAAAGCAGAGTACCTTGGTTTCATTTGCAGCTTCTTAATTAGCCCGTGAAAGTGCCTTTATAGAGTTACTCAACCTTTCCACACTTCCCTACCACGCTTTCTTAGTTTTCCTGCAAATTCTTTGATGCCAACAACAAATGCATAGTTGGAGAACTGATAAAGCATAAAGACAAAATGTGTGATAAAACCGTACCTTGCAATCAGCATGTGATCTTGAATATAGGCGAGAAATTGAGGATGGTCCTTTCTTGCTATATACAGGCATTCCCCATGAAGACACAGGATCTTCAGACAGTTCAGCATGTTAAAAAGAATGTCTGGTTCTTCAAACTTTGACATTTCCTGTGTAAACAGATGTACTACTCTCAACACAATGACACCACTTAACAAAAAAATCCAACTAAACAAACAAGTAATTAATGTTACCTGCAATATAGTGTATATGAGCTTCAAGGTAACTGGAAGTTGCTGGTAACAAAATTTTCTTTCTGTGTCATTCTTTATCGCTGTTAAAAATGTAAGTTACATAAGATGTCGTTAAAGTTCTCTCATCTGTAGGTTCAAAATGAAACTAAAGAATGTCAAAGTGATGAGAGATAAATTAATTCAAGACAAAGTAACCCTGCAGACAGTAAAGTTAAAACAGTCCGGAATTTGGCATGTAACATTTTTGCTACTTTATATGTTCAAAAAGACAAGATTTCTTCAAACACTTTTTGAGACAGTCATACTTGCTGTCAACATAAATACAGCCTTCCTATTTGATTAATATGTTGAAAGAATTAAATGCATGAGAAAAAAAGTGACTGTGCAGTGTGGCACTTGAAAGACTGCTTCAGAACCTTGTATTCTGTATGACTAGAAGCATTTCATTTAAAGTCTTACTGAAATACTCAACCTTCTCATCCTCCACCTACCTGTGTTTTCTGTGGTCTCTGTGTGATTTCCTGGGTTTTCTCCATGTTTTGGTGCCACTTTGTCTTCCTCTTCTCCTTCAGTTCCTATAATAAACTCAGGTCTAGTATACAGAAGACTGTCCTCGAGGTTATCTGTGGGCTCCTTTAAGAACATAATACGTTAAATTCATTTCTCGATGTTCTCTAAATACAAGAGGCCATATCCTGCTGTTTAGTTACATTTGGTGTGATAAGCTGAGCTCAAATGAGGCAGACACTGTCTAGTTCCACGTACACTCCTGCATTCAAATCACCTGCATATCTAAAATTCTGCATCAGCAAATGCATACCGACAAGATGACTATGTTTCAAACACGGATTTAAGTGATACCACTTAACAGAAACTGTATATCTACGTTGGAGCTGAGGTGGATCCAATCGCAAGGCCGTGGTTTCACCAAACTTGTCGTCCTTGCCTCAGAGGAGTAACAGACAGGAGCAGGGCGTATTTCCTACGCTACTGTGGACTTACAGGCTTAGAGGCAGGAGCTACCTCAATCACTTCGACATTGAGAAAAGGACCAGGCTGGAGTTATTTCCGCCTATGGCCAGGAGCTCAGGATTACAAGTTGCCATTGTGAGCTTTATTTTATGAATTACAAGGTGGATCCTAGAAATATCACCAAGCCCCAGCACTCAAAAGACTTCACCACTTGCTACTTTTCGGTTCAGGTAAGAATCTGAACTGAAGGCACATGAGATTATTTTTCTAGCACAAATTACTGAATACCACGTGCACAATACCTACTAGTAGCATACACATCCAAATGGAATTCTGAAACTTTAACATATCAAAAGGCATCACTATGCCCACCACCAAAAAAAAAAAAGATTACTAATAAATATCCTGCCACTACCATGCCACAGCAAATGAACACTCAGAATAAGGGGAACGATGCTGTCTTCCAAACTATCAGATGGAACAGTTACTTATAATAGACATAGAGCTTAAAATAAATTCATCGCAGCACGGGCAATGCTTCAACTCTTCTGCAGAGCTACAGATGACTTTAATGATGACTGGCAATTAGAGTACATATCTGTGCCTGACAAAGTTGGACACTCAACCTGAAGTATATTGTTTTTCAACAGTGCTCAGCATTTGCAGCAATCAAGCATCAACTAAGGCTTGCTCACTTGACAACTGATTTACTCAAAATCATTAATCATTTCAAAATATCCACTCCCAGCCTTTAAAGAAATCAAAAAGCACTAAGTATTTAAGCACATTTTATTTAAGACACAGTATCATAGGCATGTCCTTCCAAAGTGAAATAGCACTTCAGTGTTGATGGGGGAAGAGTTCATACTGGATGAATATTGTCATCTTCCCTGGGTTCTTTAAATCAATTCAAACGTAGGAAGTTCTACAATTCAATTGCATTTTGCTTTAACATCCCAAATCCTCCATGCCAACGGTCAGCACAGCTTTGCTGCCTTGTGCACAATGTAATGGGAAACAAAGAAGAAGTAGAGTTTCAGCACACCAATAATATAGGGCCTTTCTTGCTCTACCTACCACAAGTCTGATTTCTTCTTTCGGAGCAAGCTGTTCCAGCAGCTCAAAACCCAGCTGGTAACACAGAATGCTGGACTGACACAGACCACATTCAACTGCTTTTTCATCTTTCTGACAGGTGTGAGAACCGCCCCAGGGTGCCTGGAACACATTGTTTATGATGGATATTATATCTTTCGAAATGCTGTTCTCTAAGCCCAAGGTGACACCATCATCCTGGAGTTCCATCTGAAAGAGAGTGAAAAGAGTAAGGATTTATTATATCTTTAAAAGCTAGAGCACTAGCTATTCTGCCTATTCCGACATTTCTGCCAGTGTTACATTACAGTACTGGGAAGAGTTTGAGATAAACTGGAACTCACAATTTTGAATGGTGACTGGTGTTGAGGCCCAAGCTCAAGCAGCTAGAGTAAGATTTTGAAGATAAATAGACAATTTCAAGCACAGGACCCATGAGTTTTAGCTGGAGACGGTTATCCAAAACACCTGGTCTTGGATTCACAATGCACAAATTTATCTATCCAGAAATTACGCATCTAATCTAAGCTTATCAACAAGCCTCTGCTTCCAGTCTGTAGAAATAAATGTATCTCCAAGAAGCTCCTTTCACTCATATGAGCTATCTAATGTGAACATGGAGGTATCTAAACTTCTCTTCATTGACCATGAACCTATAACTCATATATGGGTAAAGGCAGATGACAGCTGTGGAGAGATTTAAATGTCTTATACTTCATACCAGTCCCTCAGCAGAAATGGACTCAATACAGGATTAAAGGAGAGCCAAAAGTGACTACAGAACTTCAGCGTCCCCTCAATGTGGGTTTTTTCTTCTGCAAATACCTGCTTCAAGATGAGATCAAACATCAGAATGAAGCAATTAAGATTCATTTCATCATCTTCACAGTCAAAGTCAATTGTCTTTCCACTGGGGTGTCCAAAGTTCTTGAAAGGGCTGTGAAAAGGACTACGTAGTGGACTCCGAAATGGGCTCTGGAAGGGGCTTGGGAAAGGACTCAGCATGTTATGCTGAACTCTGCGCCCAGGATCAGAAGCCACGCTTACCTGAAGACATAAAGAACCAACATGTCCAAATGACTGTTAAGCATTTAAACAATCTCATTCTATACAGAACTGCAGAAAATGGCAAGAACGTTGACAGTCTTTCTATTTCCTTCTGTAGCTTTTTTGCAAAATCTACGCATCCGTTAATGCCATTAAATGATAAAATATGATAGAAGCACAGGAATCATATTCTGCACTGATGTATACATTCTCTTAAGTTAAGTGGCTGGCATCCATTATCTTATTTCTACTAAGAAGGAATTTTAACATTACAAACCAAACAGAAACTTGGTGCAGGCAGTAAAGTGGCCAGCAGGTTACAATGATCTGCTCCATGATCCAGGGACACAAACTTCAATAGTAGGAAGCTAATAAAGAAGTACTATCTCAAGAGAAAGTATAACTAAGGCTACACCAAGGATACGGGTAATGAACTAGACGCAACAGTAACAAGATGTGCATGTCTCCATTGATTTATGTTTGCACCACAGTAGGCCACCTACAACACCCTGAGAACCTTGAAGTGTTGCAGACAGATACACAATTAGATGACACATGAGGTCTATTTTTAGGCCAGCTATGGTCTGAAAGACTAGACAGTAAATTGGTCTGCTTTTTCTGCTTAGTTTAAAAGTGATCATGGGCTAGCTGTGGGAGAGCTCTCTGCTGATCTACATGAGAAAACGGCCACACCACCGGTAAGGAATCATCAGCTGCCTAGATGCTGTAGTTCCTCAAATGTAAATTTATGACCTTTCAAGCACTCTTGTTCCTGCTGTCCTTGCAGCACTTCGCCCAAGACTACTGGGCAATTAGTCACATCAGCCCAACTACGTGTAGTGCCTACAGATTTGTACATCTCGTCTTCCAGACCATAAGTCTTTGACAGACAACTTTTGATCAATTTTTGCATCTCTTGGATGGGGAAAAATTGCAGGGAAACAGAAATAAATTCTGTTCTGTCACCCTCTCAAAACATATCTAGGCCCACCAAATTTGTACTAGAATACAAAAGCTCGCTCTGGGTGACCAGTTGTCCATAATAACTTGTTGACAGTTATTAACAGAAGAGAATGAAAATGGTTGGAAAAGATACCAAGAACACTCCAAGCATATCCCAAATAAACCATTTCACTAAGGAAAAACATCTCAGTTTTTCTGCAGTTGCTATCTGCATTGTCTTTACACTGACCATGTGATAGAGTGGTATTAATTGAAAACGTCGCACCAATTTCCTTCCATTCTCAAAATTTACAGTGTTTCCAATCAAATGGTGCCATATTGAAAGATGACTTTAATTCTTCACATGCATTCTATTAGGAAAACTTTTCTAAGTGAAAAAATAAGCAGGATATATAACAGTTACCCTCCGAGCTGCAAGACTTCCCGCCAGTTCACCAACTCTCGATTTTCTTTGATTTGCTAACTCTTTTACAGAATTAACTCCATCAGAAAACATGCTGATTAGCAACTGAAGAGGAACAACAATGTCTAGTTCAGATAACACCTGAGGAAAGACAATAAATGAAAAAGCATGAGTTTCAAGTTTGATCAATAATGCCAGCCACTTTATAAGCACCTTTACCATATGATCCTCAGTTCAGCAAGTTCCATGCATTTAATTTTGGGATTCAATGAGGTGAGCTGTGAGCCTAGACTTCTGTTAGAATCAGGGTAAAAGACAACTGGGGAAAAAAAAAAAAAAAAAAGGGGGTATTTTCAAAATATTAGTTAGAATCCACTTGGTGTGCCTCAAGATCAGTTTTGTGTAGAAACATGCAGGGATGTGAGGTTGTTCCACAAAAGTATTTCTGTAAACCAAAAGTATTACCAATACTTGGATGAATTACTATTTACTATATTTATTATTACTTAAAACTGACTTCCTGTATTTATTCTAGGAATCCAGCCAGAGTGGTTGCCTACAGGTGTCAACATAGTGACAGGATGGTTATCTGCAAATCACTGAGGGAACATTCATCATCTGTTTTGTCACTAACACTCAGACAAATATAAGCACATTCATACTTGTCATTAACTGTTATTAGGTCAAGAAAAATCTAAAAATCATAATTTACTTGAAAACTCTACATACATCAAAATTTCTACAGTCACCAAGTAAATTGGTCTTTGCAGAGGCTGAACAAAAATAACCCTCAGCAGAAAAGAAGTGATAATGAAGAACACAGGTATTATTCTGAGGTGCTGTGGAAAATTTTATACCTTTTTGAATTCACTGCCCCCAGCTGACATGATTGTTCCTGCAGCTTTTGAATATGAACTCTGGGTGAATGCCAGCTTTGTGGGCAAATACGGCACAAAAGGGCAAGAGCAGCAGAAGGCTTGATGGGTATAGAGCTAGTCTAATCCAGACCTTCATATGTGGGAATAACTACAGCTGCTTCTGGAGTCTGGAATTAATTTTGGAATCTACAGACCAAATTGTGTAGAGACTAAAATCTACTGCTGGCAAAAAGTCAGACAGCTGAATGGCCCTTAAGATAAAACTGACATTCAAAGGTAAAAGGGATTTCCAGGCTTCCATTATATTGCCCATGATGGGCTAGTAACATAAAGCTTCCCGGGATCTGTCTACCAACCACCCTTACACTGGGGCTGACCAAAGGGCAGAAAGGTTCCCTGATCCTTGGAAAACTCGTTTCTTACCCCCCCGCCCCCAGGTCTTTTTTTTTTTCTTTTCCAAAAGCATAAGCTGCTTCAGCACGACTTGTCAAGAGAGGACACTTACATGCAGCCAAAGCAATGCCTGCTCTTGCACAGAAGATGGATACCCTGTGAATCGACAGCTAATGAAGCCAAACATCTCCTCCATGGAGAAAGGGAGAGGGCAAAGCTCAATGTCAAACATTTTGCTGAAAAGTAGAACAAAAATATAGCATCACTGAGTTACCACGGCATACACTGTGTGAGATATAACAGAAAACAGGTAGAAAGGCAATCTCACTACCAGCACTGATGATGCTTCTGTAACCTTACTTGCATCCTCACCCTCCACGGGAGTTGAGCTAGGCTGCTGATATCACCTCTCCCGACTATACAAGATCATCTCTGAATTTGGTGATGCACCTTAAGAATTTACATCACATCTCATACCTTGCCCAGTTTCATGTGATAGCAAAATCTTTTTCAACACCGAAGGTAAAAATTGGAAAGTTTCTCATCTCACCACTCCTCCCCTATTCCATGCTAACACTAAAAAAGTTTTCATCAATACCTACAAATATAAACTTATAGTCAGTTTCAGAGCCTCTTCATCAGTTAAAAGGCAATGTGAAGTTTTATTGTCAAAGACATACACCTGACGTGAAATTATGACCCAGCCACCATTCAGCAGGTCGAGGGAGATCATCCTCCCCCTCTACTCTGCCCTGGTGAGGCCACATCTGGAGTACTGCGTCCAGTTCTGGGCTCCCCAGTTCAAGAAAGACAGGGAACTGCTGGAGAGGGTCCAGCAAAGGGCAACAAAGATGATTAGGGGATTGGAACATCTCTCATATGAGGAAAGGCTGAGGGACTTGGGTCTCTTTAGTCTAGAGACAAGAAGATTGAGGGGGGGTCTTATTAATGCCTACAAATACTTAAAGGGAGGATGCCAGGGGGATGGGAGCAGTCTTTTTTCAGTGGTGCCCAGTGATAAGACGAGGGGTAACGGGCACAAGCTTGAACATAGGAGGTTCCATCTTAACATGAGGAGGAACTTCTTTACTTTGAGGGTAGTGGAGCACTGGCACAGGCTGCCCAGAGAGGTTGTGGAGTCTCCCACTCTGGAGACATTCAAAACCCCCCTGGACGCTGTCCTGTGCAACGTGCTGTAGGTGACCCTGCTCTGGCGGGGGGGGTGGACTAGATGATCTCCAGAGGTCCCTTCCAACCCTGACCATTCTGCAATTCTGTGATTCTTATTCTGGTGTTTTCTTTGCTCAACAGGGGAAGACATTAGCTAAATCAATACAAACCATCAGTCTTTCAGTGCCAGCTCTACTAATCCCCACCATTTCTCATCAAGAGCAGGCCAGGAGGAGAAAGATGCTTCTTCCACCATGCTGCAGGAAGCCACTGAAAATGTGCCTTGCTCACAAGCAAAGAATTATCCATGTAATTGGCTCCTGATACAAGTTCAAGGATATCAGGAGCAATAAGCTTTGGGAAAGTTTCCTTTTAAGTCCTTTAGTTTAAATATAAGTCAAAAAAAATTCAGAAGCATTTCCTCAATACTGTCTATTGCACATTTTTATTTGTTGTCACCATCGTACTGTGCTAAAACCCTCAAAAATCAACATGCAATGATAGAATGGTTCCTACATATGTCTACATACCTCAACACTTCCCGGAACTCTTTCAGTTGATTATCAGGCACTTCTGTCCTTATAGCTTCCAACCACTCTGGCATGATACATTCCCACACTGGCTGGTTTATCACATTGTACGGAATCAAGCAAAGGATTCGATTCAGCCCTTCTTTTAATTGGGTCACAGCGCTGCACGATTTGTCCCAGTATCCACCAACCTGTGGGTATTTCCAGGAGTCATACGGATGAAAAATACTTCTAGTCTCTGTAACTTGCCCAGCACCATAAATTTGCTCAGCGTGTTGCAGCCAAGATATTGTGGGGGGTGATCATTAGCACCTTCCAGCCTGAATTTAAAATTCAGCCATGGGGATTGCATTAGTTTTTCTCTCTCTCATTTGACCTATAGCACACAAAAGCACTGTCCAAGATGTAGATGAAGTCTGCTCACTTCTAGGCCATGACACAGAGTAAGGTCTCATTGTTTACAGTTCTCAACAAGGGACAGATTTACTTGGTCAAGCTTGTACCTTCAATTATTTGCTCTGGGCAACTTGTTACAGTGCTGGGTCTTTATTTTGCAAAACTTGGTCTGCACCAGCTGTTCTTTTGCGGTTGTTTGGGGTTTTTTTGAGAGAAGGTTTTAAGTGATGGAAGCCAAATATATACTTCTAAGTTAATAAGTAACTGGGCTACAGAGATTAATTATTCTAACTGACCTCAGCTCACATCTGTTGTTCCTGAGTAATGGCTCTAGAGATGCCTGCTGTTTTGGCAGCACCTACTGCTAAGCTCAGCCAGCAAACTATTTTTTCTCCATTCATCACTGCTAATTTCATGGCTGTTTGTCTTCATGTTCTAGTGAACCCTTGCAAATCTGGCAAGTTGTCAGTCTACTCTTAAGTATTGCAGTGGGGATAATAAAACTCAAAAAAAGGGGCTGGATCCAAGACAAGAAAAAGATCCATAACAGATTACAGCATGAGGTTCAGTCCTTCCTTTCCCCTTTAGCCTCAAAGCCCTGATCTCTTTTCTTCAGTTCTAACATTCAATGCATCCATCCACCTCAAATTCCCTCAGCTGCTCTCCAATCCTCCCACAGCCATGTGTGTCTTCACAGTGACACACATACACATTCCAGTCTGCGCACATACAGCAAATCCCATATATTAGGTCATGAAAGATCCATGGATACACACTTCATCCCTGATGATGTAATGATATATCACAAAGTCTTTATGGCACTTCCAAGTCTAGCCACTTAATTTTAGGAAACAAAACCAACACGTCCCCTGGACACTTTCACTAAGAGGTTCACAAAATCAAAGTCTTCTTACAAGAGCACATGCGGTATAGTCGGCAGTGATAAATGAGAGAAAAGTCTTAAACCCTTCACAAATATTAAGTTCCTATTGTCATGCTGACGTTTCATTTTCTATAGAGGAATATTCACATGCCTGACTTTGTTGCCTGTCTTCACTATGCAGGTTAAGTGGCAAGTTCTGCTTCATAATTAATGGACAGAAAGACAGACTTTTCCTAGAAGCAATTCCAGTACCGGTCTCACTTAGGCACCCTGAATGACCTTCCAGATAAGTCTCTTTCTCTCCATTAGCAATAAGGCAAGCCATGGCAGAGTAGTCTCTTAGCTGAGTCGCTTAAATTAGGTATCTGAAGCTACAGGACATCAGTATGGCCAGAGTTCCTTTCAGTTACAACTGTGTGATCTCATGAACCTTAATTCACAGCTGCAGAGATGAAGTATGCAAAGAACCGAGAAACATTAGTAAAGCAGACTAGTAAAGGACAGGCTTATATATGGGAGCAGACAAATCATACCTTTTCCTAAAGACAAATTTGGATGCTTCGGCAGCATAACAGAAACGTGCAGCTATCAAAAACGTACAGTATCTTTCAATAACTGCAATATTCTTCCAACCTGTCTTCATATTACTGTAAACAACCCCCACTCTCTAACACAGTAAAACTAAAAACTATGAAGAGGAAAAATTCCTGAACTCCACTGCTCCCTCTAACAGCGAGGTTTCTTTTGCCTTGACAGAGCTGGGGGAGAAATGGTCTTTATACTTAAGACTCTAATCTCTGTGGCAAACAATGGAACCTTCAGATAAATTACTCTTACCCTGGCAAACTCCATTGGTTTAGGAAGGAGGCACATAACCATGACATCAAACCGGACATCACAAACTGTCTTCAACCACTTGGTAACAAACTGGGGTTTGAGCTTTTCAACCAGGCTACCAACTTCATCGTCCATCATGTAAGCTGTAGAGTGAAACCACTGAAATACCATGCTAACCAGCCTTGCTAAACTCTCTGTGGGTGTATTCTCACTGGGAGTGCAAAGGCTCACCTGGAAGACAGAAACACAAATCTAGTTTCATTTCTAGAATTAAAGGTGGTAAACTGTTTATCTACTATATTTTGCATATTCTCAGAAATGAGCTGATCAGTTTTAAGTAGAGTTTGGCACAGGACAATTGACAAAACATTTCCAAACCAGAAAATAACACTAAGAGGGGAAAAAAAACAAGCACTGAATTTTTTGTTTCTTAGTTTCAATACTGAAAATATCCATACAGAATGCTTTGACAAACTGAAACATTGTGTTTTGAATTTTAAAATTACTTTTCATTTCAAACGTTAACATAATGCCCAGCAAAATATATGTGACACATACACACACATACATAAAATGTACAAGATAAAAAGACAAACTAAATGAAGAGTTTCAACAAGTCTGAAAGAAGATGTCTTCTTAACATCATAAGCGATCTTTGCTTTGCAAAAAGATTCTCGTTTTGAGTTTTTGTCCTCAGTTGGTGTGGGAATACGAGTTTTAAGTCCTCAAAAATTCTCACGTAATTATTAATATTCTTCTCCCTTTCTCCAAACTCTATCTTTCTAAAACAATATCGGCGCTATAAAACTGTCCCAAATCTGAGACCCCAGTTCACAGACCAGGCACACTGCTAAGCCTGTAATCACCCACTATATGAGCTCTTGGTATCTTCTGGTGACAGGAGACAAAGTTTCAAGTCAGGTTGCTGCACTGAATCCAAGAATGGAAAACAGCAGATGACAGGAGATTTTGGAAGCTGCTTCAAGCATCTATCAGCTGTTTGTTGCCACTTCCTAGTGAGTGCTGTACTCTCAGCACCTGGCAACCTGTAACCAGCGACTGCTGCCTTGTAGTAAGTGAACAAAGGAGAAATATTCACGTCATTTCTGGGGAAGCAGCTGACAGCACTGCTTCCCAGGGAAGACCAGAACCTGTTTTAAAAGTGCTTTTCCTCCATGTTTTTTCTGGGGATGAGGGAGCTAACGACACCCTCGCCAATTCAAAGCACAGTCTTCACAGTTCTACGTCGCTGCCGGTTGAAGTTAAGGCGTTTGCTTCCTGGTGCCTGTCTCAGTTGAGTGTTAACTCAAAGGTAGTATCAACTGGCAGCCTTCTTAACAGCAACTCTTGAGCTCTGTCCAGTTTCCAGATGAACAGTATTCGTTTTATGAAAGAAAACAGCAACCCAGTATTCCTCACAACCTGTGCTGTCATCCTAGCCAATATTCTACTACAGAGAGATCAAAAGATTTTATAAGAATAGAATGAAGTCAGTGAGCTCCTCCTGATGAGGCATGTACCATGTAACAAAACCTGTTCTGCTCTTGCTTTAGTTCTACTTCTGGAAACGTAGGCCTTCAGTCTTTACAAAATATCATTTGAAACCAAATAGATGAATATGGCACAATCAAAAAAAAAAAAAGAAAATAATAAAAGGCTTTAAGTCTAAAACAATGTTAAACAACAAATCCCACAAGATATCAGCAGAATGCAGTCTGCTCCTGTAATCACTTGAAACAGCAGAGCAGCTTTTTTAGCATTATGGGATTCTAAACCTGCCACCCTGCTGTCCCTATCTCTGTTTAGATGATGGATAAGGGGTCCTACTATTCCCCACTTGTCACTGTGTAACCATGGAGGAGAGAGCCTGGGAGCTCAAGATGAATTGCAAAGAGCTCGAGAAGGGAAATTCTCCTTAAGAATCATAGAATCCAATTTCTGAGGACGTGTCAGGCCCCAGCCTGACCTGCTCATGAATTAGACAGAAGAAGCTTTGCTATCTTGTAGTAATCCCTACTAGCTACTGTGAGGGGTAGAACCAGCAGACTTCACGCTGTCAACCCACACTGGGTGAATTAGCTGGAGCACAGTGATGGGGACTGATTCAGCTAGACCAGTCTAAAGGCAGGAAGGAAAAGCAGCCCACCAAGACTCCTCCAGCCCCTTCAGAGGTAAGACAGAAAGCTCAGCTTCCGGAGAGTGATGCTGAAATACGGAAGGTGAAAGGTAGATCATCTGGGGATTGCCTTTTAAGGTTAAAATAATGGCACTCAGCAGATGGCACTTGTGAGCAGGAGATGAGGGCACATAGAAAGTCAATAAAAAAACTAAAAGGGCAAATAATGTTATACACTCTATACAGCACTTAGAAGGCAGTGAGCAGCTCCACCCAAACTAGTTCTGACAAGTCTAACAGCTTCACATAATTCCTTCTTTTTGCCTACAAACCAGAGAAGTATCCAACCAAATCCAAGAAATGGGAAAAAAAGAGATTACACTGAGGCTTCAGAAAGAAAAAGAGACAGAAGCAAGAGCATTAAGAGATGAGAGCAAGAATTTCTTACCAAGAACCAGATTCCAAACTGGCTCAAGAGACGTTGGTCATGCTTGTCATCATCTTTATTATCAAAGTCTGTGTTGTCCAGGGAGTGATGGGAAGAGGAGAGGCCCATCTGTCTCCTGCGGTTGAGTTCATACTCTCTCTGCTCAGCATGAAACTCTGCTTCCTTCAGCAAGCTATAAAACAAGCTTGTGGTCAGTGAATGAGCTGGATACAGCTATCTGATCAATAATAACTAGAGTTTAAGGCATCTGATGTCATCATTTTCCTGAGAACAGTAATAAAATAACATCAATAACATCATTCGCGACCTTCCACTACCTAAAGGAGCCTACAGGAGAGCTGGGGAAGGACTTTTTACTAGGGCATGTAGTGAGAGGACGAGGGGGAATGGATATAAACTGGAAGAGGGCAGGTTTAGATTAAACATTAGGAAGAAGTTTTTCACTTTGAGGGTGGTGAAGCACTGGAATAGGTTGCCCAGAGAGGTTGTTGAGGTCCCATCCCTGGAGGTGTTCAAGGCCAGGCTGGACGTGGCCTTGGGCAACCTGGTCTGGTGGGAGGTGTCCCTGCCCATGGCAGGGGGGTTGGAACTGAATGATTTTCAAGGTCCTTTCCAGCCTAAACCATTCTATGATTCTATGATACTATAATCAAATTCTAGGATTCAAGGCTGACTTCTTCCAGGAGGACAACACTCACAGCTGATCGCTGCTCTGTCAATGCAGCAGGAGTTCAGCGCCCCTGCTCTGAACCTACCCTGGTGGAACTATAGACTTGCACAAGATTTGCAGGCATGAAATCATACTGATGCCTCATAAGCTGCCACATTACCTGATCACAGCTTCCACAGTACAAACAAGTTCCTCTGCCCCGCACTCCCGAGTATTGATGGGGGGTGGCGAGGTCTGATAAAGATGGGTTTCTGCAGCTGCCCCAACTTCACTGCTGTGATGATTGGAATGGCATCTTTTGCAATAGCGCACTGGCCTGTTGCCATGGCGGCCACAGCAGCCAGCTGAGAAGCATGTGACAACAGCTCTTCTGACATGTGAACTACAGTTCTGGGAGAGAAAAAGAAAAAAAAAAAAAAAAAAAAGAAAAAAAAAGATTTTATCAGGCCACAAGTATCAGGAAGCGGAACTGAAAACAGGGATGAGAGTCAGCACTGGGGAACTGGCTCAAGTGTCGGTCATTTCCAAAATCACTATATATAAGCACAACTGTGTGCAAACTCCTGATGCCAAGTGTCACTGAACTTCCAGAAAGATGAGCTCAGGCCTAAATGCTGGGCCTGGACTTAAACATCATGGTCGCTCTTCTTTTGGAGCAGGCCAAACCAACATTTAAGTCATCAACCTCAACTTTCTGGCTTGGAGCAACCTCTAAAGTTTAGAGTAGTTCTCTTAACCCCTGCTTATACTTCAGGATGTCTTTTTATGTTACGTGTAGGAACAGGCAGATCCTTCGGAGTGTAATCACGAGTGCCACATCAGTTTATGCTATGTAAGGATTTGCCTTATCATAGGTAACCATCCAAGCCTCCAAAATATACACTGCCTTTATTTTTGCCACCTGGTAATCTGGCCCAACATAAAAGCCTTCTTTACCACATAAAATGTAGAGTATGTTATAGACAGTATTCCTCATTATAAGAATTTTATTAAAACCCACTATCTGGTATGTATTGCAAGCAGATTCTTTTTGTCAGTCATCTTTTCAGAGCCAAGGACGGAAGACTTTCAGTCCATATGTTTTTAAAAATATACAATTTACAGTAGGATTTTTGTCCAATTTAGGATTAATCCAAGACTTCACAGAGGTGAGAATATACTTGCTCTGTCCTCTTCATAAGCAGAGTTATAGAATAAAAACTGAGCTCAGTTGCATAATTGAATTGCTTTACTAATTGCCACTTCAATAAAAGCCTACAATTCAAATCAAACATCAGCAGTTTTAACAAAAAGAAACCTTGCTGATGAATCATTCCCATCCACCAACAAATGCATTCATGGATAAATTGTGAAAATTTGGAATGGTACAAAAAAAGAACGCACCACATTGTAATGGAATGACACTACACACAACATCAAATCATGCCCCATCACACAAATGACTGAATCTTACCTTCTTCTGACATATAGCAGAAATTTCAGCTGTAAGGGGAAGGCATACAAAACATCAACACAAAATGATGATCCTTCTGTTTTACCATGGCAGCCATGGGAAAATGGACTTGCTGCAAAGAAGCCTCTGAGGCTAAGCTTGTGTTTCCAGACACTATTGAAATCCCTAAGCCTGTTGGATCACATGAGGGAGGACACTGTATGCTTCAACCTACTGACTATTTCTACACCGAAATGAAAGAACAGCCTTGGTGCATTGTGTGGTGTGCTCTGCATCCCTTCCACCGATGCTTGCTCCTCACAGACAGCCTTGTAACAGCAGTACACTTGTAGGCACACTAGTGTGGCATGCTGCGGGAGACGTGGCTCAGATGTGCCTACGCTGCCTGGGAAAGCTCACAGGATGAAAGATTAGTGAATATGGATGAAAAATGTAGAAGCAGCCACTATGTCTGTGGCCCATAACTCCACAGAGAAATGTTTGCAGATTCAACCTGTAAGCAGTAGCTATTTGGTCTGTTGCCCTAGCAACATCTGATTCAGTACATATAGGTGGCTGAGTAAAAAGAAGTATATTTCCCCTCAAGTAAATAAAACATTCTTAATCCAGATTAGATTTCAGTAGGAAGGAGACAGAAAAAAAAAAAAAAAAGAAATCTCCACTGCCTAAGAATTTTCAGTCTGCAGAACAAAGACAAAGTGTATTTTTTCTGTCCTTGAAAGGATTATTTTAGAGAATATGTGACTATCCTTGTAAACCCAGGAAATTCTCATCAGTCTGTCAACAAGCTTTGTCTGCATTCCGGTAGATAATAGAATATTGGGATCTCCCACTGGCCAAAGGACGATGACTGAATCAATGACTGGATCACTGAAAAATATTTTATGTCCTTTTCTGCTATCTTTTACAGCCTTCCGTTCACAGAATAGATTTTCAGAACCCTTCAGAGCTTTCAAATCAGACACAGGTTTCCAGAAGAACTAGCCCCTTTTCTTCACCCCAACTGTGGATGTGTCAAGACTTGAAAATCTTTTCAACTGTCTCTGTTTCCTCACACATAAAAAGTTGCATGCTATTTCAGATAGAGAATTAGTCAATTCTTCGTAGTACTTTAAAGACATTAAGCAGTATTAAGTACAAGCTACTTCAATGTTCTAAAAACTGCTTTTAGCATAGAAGGCAGCATTTCAAGTAATACTTTATGCAGAAATATCAGTAAGCATAGGGTTGTACAATTATAACTAGTTTGTACCTACCATTTAAATACCTCTTACCTTGTGGTAGAAGAACATCAATCAACCATTCACTGTGATCCCTACAAAAATTGTATATCTAATTAGCTTTCCATTTTTTTTTATTTATATATGCATTTATTTTTGCACAGAGGAAATTTATCTAAATTCATGCGGTAGGACTGACGTTATTCTGAAGCTGCTTTTTTACAAATGCAGTTTTATAAATTGCAGGCTGCTTTACATTGCCTCTCTTTGTTGTGCCTGTCTTACTGTAAATTGCCACTTTGCCGATGTCAGTCCACCATGTTCAGAGCTTTCAAAAAATTACTTTTAAGGCATAAATTTTTCAAATTAAAATAGTATGTCCTCTGAAAGTCTGAGGGCTAAGAAATGATAGCAAAGAACAACAGACAAACATAGAAAAAAAACATGTATCAGTACTATTTTCTGCAAGTCTCCTTAGAAGCTATGCTTCTACCAAATTCCATTACTTCTTCCTGCAGCTTTAAATCAATTTTAAAATCAGCTTAAAAACCTTAGGTGAGATGTAATTGCTTTTCCTACAGCTGGTGTGATATAAAGGTGTCTTAAACTGGGGACAAAAAAAACCTGATGTAGCTTCTGAACTACCCGTAACCTTGACCGTTTGAACTAAGGATTGGAACTCCCCATAAGTATAAGTAGATCTTGTGAAGTAATGCAAACCAAATTAGCAATTTTAAAAACATAAATATAATAATAGAAAAAAAAAAAAAAAGCAGCAAGGTTAACTCGTCTAAGGCTGTATTTCTTCCAGGTACTAGACAAGCCTGGACCAATTCTTTGCTCTGCTGCTTCACAGTATACCCTAAAGAATAATCTGAAATAAATGTTACAGAAAAGTAATGAAGTCTCTGTGAAACAGCTTTCACGGTAATGTCCTGCTTTTAATGACAACTAAAGAATGAGGAGAAAAAAACATTTCATACGTAAAGGCTTGTACATTAACAAGGTTCCCCTATCATAGTCAATACATCCCACAGTATCTATTCACTCAGAGTTCCTAACTTTAAAACTCACTACTGTTCAAACTAGATGCAAACACTGATCATGTGGGGTAAATTTCTGTAATCCTTATTCATACTGAGGGACAGAGCGCTCCATATATTTCAACAGAATTATTTATATAAATTACATGTTAATCATACTGAAATAAAGCACAGCTCCAGAGTTCTGGACTCTGGAGTCTGACTATACCTGATCATTTTCAAGTTCTTAGTTTACCTACCCGGCAATTCTCTGACTGCATTCTTCACAAAGATATAGGGGAGGTGGCTTATCACCCAAAGCCACAGACAAAGATGGGTCAATGCACATCTGAAACACAGAGAAGAAAAAGAATTAACTCATCTGTTCATTGAAGTTCACCGAGAAAGTTCAACACAGTAATGCTAGGACATACAATATAACACAGCTTTGGTATGTATTGAGAGCATTTCATATTCTGAAAGATGGTACTCAGCACCTGGCAGTACAAGATCTCAAATTATTTCTGACAAAAATATGCATGTAACTGAAAATGAGAGCCTATGGGAAGAGAACACAACATATTTCAATATCAGTATTATCACTCTCTGAAAGACAAGTATATTTTGTGCTACACGTTCACATTGCATAGTCACAACAGACTTACTTTTTTTTCTCCCAAAGAGATAGGCACTTAGAGGATTCATTGCCTAGGACAAGGTAATGTAATAGTCTAGTTTTTTCTCTCTCAGCAACACCTCTTCCAGCAAAATCCGATTTTCAGTCATCATAATTGTTAACTATACAGCATGATTCCAGTGGCAGAATGAAGACCCACAGTTTCCTTGGCAGCACAGGTCCAAAATCTGTCTTGCATTAGCTTTTATCCTTCCACATTAGCCAGTTACAGAAAACCATTACAGTAAACAGCCAGCTACATACACATTTGTTTGTGTTTTCTACTAGATAAGGAAAAGATGAAGTTGAATGTGTACACAGTATCTTAACCACTTAAATCAAAACCTTTCTTACTCCATTCAAGTGAAAGATCTTAAAGACAAATGCCTCTTTGAATATTTTTTCATCTTTGTTAACCAAATTTACATTCATCTATCCAAGAGACAACAGACTGCATTTTTCTGAGTGATGACTGACCAAGACTGGTTCTGTCGAAGTTAAGCTAAGAGATCATTCAAAAATATTCAGGTATTTCATCTGCAAAGATTGGAACTCTAAGTTTCATTGATATTTTGCTCTACTCAGTGATTACTCCGAATTCAGCGATCACTACAACATCAAGTGACAACTGCCAGCTTTTTTTCCTTTGAAAAGGGACCATGGAGAATGATTGGAGTGGGCAGGAAAGTGGTCCCTTGCAGGACTTGCGATAGGTGTCACCATTATGCACTGTAAGTATCACAGCCTGTGGAAACGGCTCACTGAAGAACTTTTTGACTAATGTAATTATGTTAGTATATGAACTGATGCCAGGGAAGTTGTTTGTAGCTACATATTTAACGAGATACAAAACTAATTAATTTGTACACCTAACTGTCGTATGCTCTGGACTTGGGATGCCATTCTTGCCTCTGCCATCAAACCGCATTATGATCCTGGTCAAGAAATTTTACTTTTTGTTACCCTGTATGTAAACAGGAAAGATATCATTTACCTCCTTCAAAGAGGGCTGTAGTAAAGGTAAGTAAAGCTTTTTTGCTATTTGCTTTAGGACACATTCCAGGCAAAGAATCACAATCAGAGTAGGTGCATTGAATGACCTCAGTCAAGACACAAAGGCAAACATGTACCTATGTAACTGACATAGTGTTTCCTGTATATAGTAATATTTGCGCACATGAGCACATATTTACACATATATGTGTGTTCAGGAAAATATTTACACGGATTAGCCAGGAGCCAGCTTATAATTCTATAAATGGCTTTGCAACCATCACGTTCAATATCAAGACTTGGCCCACTTTTTGGAGGAAGGCAGCCAAAGAACATATTCACAAAATTCTGGCCCCCTTGGTCTTGACTGGTCTTACTGTTCCCTTAGCTCCTGCCCTTGGTCACCTGTACACAACCAGAGCTTATGGATGGTGTCAAAGTGCAACCTCCCATCCCCACAACAGTTGGGTTTGACCCTTGAAGAAATAGCAGTACCTTCACAGCTGGTTTGTTAATCGCATTATGGCATTCAATGTGCTGGCAATGAATAGGATTCCAGGCTGCAAAGCCAAAACACAGCTGATTAATAAATGAAGAAAATATATTTACATTCTTTGTGTCTAGTGGTATCAATTGAGAACAAGATTCTCTTGGACTAAGTACTATAGAAACATGAGAGAAGACCTAGCCATTCCTCAGGAAGGCTAATAATTACAATAAATGACCTAGAATATACATGCCTACTGACTTGTTTGGGATATAATTATGAAATGAATCAGGAACTCAGTGAAGAAACGGAAAAAGTGAGACACAGAAATCCCCGTTGTAGACCCTTCCTGGCCTCACCAACACCTTGAATTAATTAATTATCCTTCCACTTCAGGAGCAGGATGATAGGAGTAGCTCAGTAAATTCAGCAACATTCCCAAGCAAAAATTAAAAATAGTCCAGCTACATAAGGAGCCTTAGCTTTGTAATGACAAGAAGTAAACAACAAAGGAATGATAAGCAGCATCACTTGGATGCTATAGAGAATGCCCCCAGGTCAAAATGCCATGCAACTGCAAATAATACTTGTGCCATTCTGGGATACATTAACAGAAAATTCACACATAGGAAAACGATTCCAGTCTACCTGGTGCTACTAACAGTTCAGATGGAATATCATGCTTAGTTTACAGACCTGCTTGCATGAAAGAAGTGATATAAAGCAGTACAAGAATGATTTATTAAGAAGTCAAGAAAATCTATCAACCTTTCAAGGGAAGGCTTTAGAAAATATCAGACAAACATGTACCAGGAACACTCAGTATGTACTTGAGTTGGTCTAGGGAGTCTTCTAAGGTCTCTTCCAAGCCTTCGGTTTTTTTATTAAAATGCCACACTCTAGCCCAGAAATTTTAAAAGTGAAAAAAACATATCCCATGTGATAGAGATTATTTGAAACAGGTTGAGACAGTAAACCAGGAAAAGCAAGTTGTGAATTGCTGCTGGCCAGCCCCCACCATAAGCACAAACCCATCAGCATCACTGGGCAGTTTGGTGGACAGAGAACTTTGTACCATCTGCCTACTCAGCTCCAGCTGCATTGCTGACTTTCTCATTTTCACCCTACAGTCAGCCTTGAGAATTTATCCATTATACTGACTGCACCTGACATCACCTGACTTTTTTTTTTTTTTTCCCTGACAGTAACAGCCAGATAAGGAGTCTTAGCAACAGCAGCAGCGATAGCAGCTGGCACAACAAAAGCAACCAAAGCAATAATTGAACAGAACATAAGCCAGAACCCTTGTGAGGCCAAGAAAGCAATTTCACAGACCATTTGGAACACTGTATTTATTTCTTGTCCTGCTCTGGTTTAGTTAGTATTGGGACTAACACAATCTATTTACTAGCCACAATCACAGGTTTTATGTTTCCTAACAGCTTTTGAAAATACAGAGAAATGGATATTGTATGTACTTATGAAAGTACCAACTTATAAAATAAAAGATTTCAAACTACTTTGTAGAACTGTAAACATGTGACATTAACACACTTCTAATCAGTTCCTTTATATTTATTTTGGCCTATACAAAACCAGCTGCACTGACCTGTGTACTGCAGTCCTCTGTACTCACTGATTGCCCCAGGGGGTTTTAAATTTGGCCAATAGTGAAATAACATTTGTACTGCTGGAGGTTTAACTTGAGATGGTCCATAGGCTATCACATAGAGCAAATCCTAAGTAAAGATATGTACAAAACATTTATTTTGTAAGGTAACAAAACACAATTCAATACATATTACTTGTATTCATAAAGATACCTGAGCACACAAAACACACACATTTCATGGCCTACCAAACATCCTTTGCCTGCTTTTACAAGTAGAATAGATGACTAACTTCAATAATATGTTTACAATTGGCTTTTGAGTTTGATCAGAGCATCCAACAGCTACCACCCACACTGCATAGTATACTAACATATAGCAAATGAAGCCTCTGTCCCGCTATGGAGCAAAGAGGTGCGATACAGATAAAGAAATGGATCCAGATCAGATTCAGGATAAGACAATGCTCACAAATAGTCCTCATAAAAGTTCAGGCCCACATGAACTGAGAAGATCAGCGGTTATTAAAATTTCTGTTAATTGGAGCCACAACCACACAGGATTTATGAAACAGAGCTCTGTTCTACAAAACATGGAGTTGCTTCTGCAAACTGAAAATCAGAGGGAACTCCCTCTCCATAACCCAGAAGGAGAATTGGACATAAAGATCATTTATAACTTCTTGGCACGCAGTCAATTCAAGCCATCTGGTTTTCATTACTATCCAAATACAGTCATTTCCACAAAGTATATATGATCATAAACTTACTTTCCATACTTCTTGCTTATATTTCATGAGGCATTCCAATAATTGGCAGTGATACACTGAGAGAGAAAAGACAGTATAGACATAATACTGAAATTGAAACTCAAGTTACAGAAGTGACGTAATTAGCTGTTTGGCCTTGCTTTGTCTGTCCAAAACTCTAAACCTCATTTAATTACTTTTTATTTTAAAAGGTTTGCTGAAGAATCATTACCCTGAGAGTCATCACAAGAGATTAGAAATTAAATATCAGTAATTTGTTTCTGTCAAGGAATGCAGTAAGATAGTATTATGCGTGTACAGCTTTTTACACAGCAACAGAGATCTTTTTCAAACACATCTAGTTTAAGAATACCTGCTAATTCACTTAATCTTTGTCCCTCTGGTACAATGTAAAGCTGTAAATGAGTATATTGTCATTCCTCTTGAGGCAGCAACAGAAGTCACATGTAGCAATACATTATTCCCATATATACCAAAGGCTAGAGGAGCCACTCTGCATCAAACAAACATGAGAGCCAAATGGACTACTTTACATGTTTGTCTTCCCAAAAACCACAGGGCAAAGTTTTCCTCAGATGGCTGGAACATAGAATTCACAAACAAAACCAGAATGTTTCATGAAAAAAAAAAAAACCCTAACTTGTGCAAGTAGCTTTTAAAAATGGTGTGCTGCTTTTATCTACCACTGTGAACTGCATTAGCACGATGTGACACTTCTCATGCACATACTGCAGTGTGGGGTTCCTCCCCCCACACAACATCTACCCATCTACATAAAACAGGAGAGAGTTGACTATCGTGCAGTGTAACAGCTCCCTCAGGTTAAATTTCGTTTCAATTTGGTTATGATATCCCACTGATTTAACTGGCACTGTGCCACAGTGAGAGAGAATGGCCTTGTGTTTAGACATTTAGACATTACACTGAAATTCATTATAGTTCTGTTGAGTCTGGAGCCAGCATTACTTGTCTTCTTTAAAAAACAGCATCAGCTGTGAACTGATATACCATAGTATAAGACAAACTGTTACTATGAATTTCTATAGTCAAAGTTAGTGGTAATTTTTCTCCAACACCGATGTTATACATCAACGCTATTTTCTGGTGTCAAGCAAGAGTAGATCAGTCTCCAACCCTGGGCCCAATCCTATTTCTCCATCACAATGAGATCTCTTATCTACGCAATGATTACCTCAAGCGTGACACTCAGAAATTCCAGTTTTGACTAAAATCACTTATTTTTAATCCTGTGCTGAATGGTAAGACAGATTTTTTCCCATCATCTGAACTGTTCTGATTGCATTTGACACAGTACTTCATGACTCATAGTTTTAGAGAGAATGATACCATGTTGCATGTTTACACATACCCGGGTTTGATGTGTACTGCATTGCAATCATTAGCATTGATGATGCAGACAGATTGACATGTGCTGGAACACCTTCTCTTTTTGAGGATCCCACTTAAAGAAAGGGGAAAAAAAAAAAAAAACAAAACGTTTTCTATTGTGTAAAGGAAAATTAGGCAAGAACAGCATATAACTGATGGCAACTGATGCAAATAAAACTCCTAAGGTACCATGTCATTAAAAAAAAAAAAACAACCCACTAAAAAACTAGAAACATTCTGTATTGGAGGGGGTGAAATCCCTTTTCTGCTGGAAGAGAAAGGTGACTAAGAATACGATATTGATTCACAGAGCGCACACCTGGTTTCCCAGATCAGTAAGATTTAATTCTCAGAGCTGCATTAACCAAAGACAGTGATCTTCTCAGGAACCCTCCTTCAGAACCCACAGACTGGTCAAAACAATGTCACTTGAATAGTCAAGTGCACCTAGGGTTTGGATTGTAGGAAAGGTAAGGAGGAATTGGAGGGTAAAGAAACAAGAAAAAATGGAAAGCCTGCTGTTGGGGTATACTGATGAAGGGTTGGGGCTGGCCGGTGGCAGCTGCTGGCTGTTGGTGTATGGCACAGATTACTTTTCAGGAAGCACATGGTATGAGTTCAAGTTATAGCTACATACCAGAAAAATTATTCCCCCTTGTTATGTTAACTGTGTTAAGATAATGATAAACAGTAGCACTGAAGTAGAGCTAAGCTGATGTAACTTTGACCTCACACAAAGTGGCTAGAGTTCCTTCTGGTCTCCTACAAAGTGGTTACTATTAAATGGTACACTTGGAAAAACCCTGCAGAGCGTAGGTGTTTATTTGCTGAACTATAACATGGCAATATGGCTTTGAAGGCAACCTCCTACACAGAGATGTGGCTTGTATCTTCCCCATCCTCACTCGCAGCACTTTCCAAAAATCTCACTGCCAGGACGCAAACACCAAGCATTTGGGATAGAAGCACAGAACTGTAGCTACCAGTTCAGGGTGATGCTTTCATCCCTCCAATCTGGCTCTCCAGCTGCTTACACTGTCTCTTGCATCCTCCCTTTCGGTTTGATTCAAAGCTGAACACTAGGGGAAGGAAAGGTTCTGCACTCGCATTGTAAAGGGGCATATAATTCCCAGTGGGAAAAGACTAGGACACTAATTAAAAGAGCACGTGACTGGAAGAGAAGGAGGGAAGGGAAAATGGAGTATTTCTCTATCTGGTACTTCTCCACATGACCCAACATTATTATGGCTCTCTTCATTGCACTTCATTCATTCTTTCTTTTTTGAATCTCACCCACACACATAAGATCCCCCAAATTATTACAGCAAGGTCTATTTGTATAGATTTAAATTGCAAAATACTCAGCAGCTCTAACCTGGTAATTAAAATGTGGCCATCAGCAGAAAAGTAAGACACAGTACTAGAAGCCAAATTTAAAGAGCAGCAGACTGGTTTCATACAGAGATCTAACCAACACAGTTTGAGGAAAAAGGCAGCATGACAAAGGTTGCTCCCCCGCTCTACATGGATGCAATCTCTGCCAAGGGCAGTCGGGGAATAGTAAGTATTTAAGTAAACCAAGAATTTAGCTCAATCAGTTACTTTGGAGAACAGTTTTATGGATCTGAAGATAGACAGGAGAGGACAAGTCACTTACAACTGTTCTTTAACAGGTAACAGTAATGGAGGAAAAAGGAGTTTAATGCAACATTCTGTTCTTAACCCAAAGAGGACCTATTGCACATACGTATGAAATACATCTTAGTAATTTTTATTTGCCTATGGTTATTAGACCTGTCAAAGGTAACAGAGAAAACATCATTGCAATGTCTTACAAGGGACTATTTTACGTGGGGAAACTGAGGTACAGAAGAGTTAAGGGATTTCTCCAAGATCACTAACTGGTAGAGCCAAAAAATGTACGTAACAAATTTCCATAAAAATCTTAATCTCAAAACACTGGACCATGCTTCTTTCCATGTTCTAACAGCATCTTCTACATGCTTAAATGGCACCAGTATTGAACTCTTTACAAAGTTGTTCATGTTTTTCCATAAAGGTCTGGAATACAGATAAGGAGGAGACATTCTCACAGAATCACAGGATGGCTGATGTTAGAAAGGACCTCTGGAGATCATCTTATCCAATCCCCCTACTCAAAGAAAGGCCAACTAGAGCAGGTACTCAGGACCTTCTCCAGCTGTGTTCTGAGCATCTGCTAGGAAGAAGAAACTGAAACCTCTCTGCCAAACTGTTCCAGTGTTTGATCACCCACACAGTAAAACGCTTGTCGGTTAAAACTGACTTTTAATATTGATCCTAATGCTTCAATCAGCAGAACATGGTTAAATTTCTCACTACTACTAAAATCCCATCAGGCTTTTTATCAGGTACACAAATGAGCATTCAGAACACACCTCAGGATTCACATTCTGCAGGGATTATGAAATTATGTAATCACATGACACCCTCAGCGCAGAAAGAAAAAAGAGAGAGATAAAAAGCCAGGCACTGCCAGATTCAGTCTTAACACTTATGGACAGGAGACATTACAGGTGCAGCTACTTAGCACAGAACTTAAAGAGAAAATGCCGAGAAGAGAGAGAGGGAGAAAAATCAGAAATTCATCACAACATCATTACATTAAGAAGAGTCATTCTTTTACATCCGGATTTAGTCCAGGTGCAATAGCAACGTGCAAGTTTTGCACCTATTGTTTCAGGATCAGTTTCTCCACTGATTCTGTATTCAAAACTCCCACTGCTGGCACTGAAGGTTCTACAAGTCTGAAAAGAGTATCTGCCTTAAAGAAGCTAAGCTTCACCCTTTAAATTAAGGAAGAATTCACACAGTAACAGAGCATAACAAATAAATTATAATTATTTCTCTTATAGTAACGTGGAATTATTTTACCTATATACATACAGAAGATTGATGTCCCATTACCATTCTATGCCAGATCAAACTTTGACTCCTACAGTCTGATACTATTATAGCAGTGCACCATGTTTTCTGAGACATAATAATACTAGAATGAGTTCTACTTACATATAGCCATAGGCAGAAAGGATGTGCTGAGATACTCTATAATATCCTTGTGCAGAAATGGAGGAAAGGTAGCTAGTGTTGAAATCATTGTATAGGGTAAAGTACTCAAAATATCGTCATTGAGAAAAGGAAGTAAGCATGTAGTAGTGTAAAAAATTGATTGCCCAAGATCTGTTGAATAAAATGAAATAAATACAGAATCATTACAATGGAAAAATATGTACTTTTTAGTTTACAAAACTATTAAAAAAATTACATTTAAATTCAAGTTTTTCCCTCAAAGCAATTTGGGCAGTTAATCACTACAGACAAGAGACTTCACCCATCGTTTTTAAGCCTGTCCTAAAATAGAGGGAAATGGCTGTTCAAGAGTACTCAGAAGAGTTTGGCGAGAATATGAATACTACAGCCAGTAAAATCATTGATTAAAAGTAATGTTGATTTTAATCATACAGCGATTAACATACAATGGCCTGCATTTAAGCAGGAGATGTTATTAGAATCAGAATTTGATATGCACTTTGGTATTGAAAGGCTTGCTTTGGCAAAAAGCATTCTAGTCTTTATTAGCCATAGAAAAATAAGATTTTGATCTTAATTGCCCACAAGAGAGCAGCAAAGTAACCCCCACATAGAGACTACAGGAAACGCCACTGTATTTTTCAAACATGATTAAACTATGGATCTTGTTTTCCTGGGAAGCCACTGAGACCAAAAATGGCCAAGGCTTAAAAGGAAAGGAATAGTTATCAAGAATTTCCATACTTACTTTGATTAATTACATTCTAACTCTTTGGAACGGAAACTTAAGAAACATACAACATTTCAAGATCCATAGGGAAGGAACAGGTTAGTGTGTATCTGGGCACTGTGGCATCTTTATGCCCTCTTCCAGATGAGGAATTGAGCTGGGATCAACAACCCCCAAGAAAGGTTACAGCACCCAACGAACCACAAGTTTGAACATGTACGACGATCCCAATACATCAGAAGGCCTTTCCCCTGCAGGAACGGGATTCCTTTTGTTGTTCATTCTGTAATCTTAAGTATGTTACACAGGCCTTCAGTCTCATCTGTACAACTAGGATGATTTAAAACTGCCTTTGTAAAGTGCTCAGGGATCTGTAGCTGTAAACATCATGAGTCATAGTAAGAATTCAAATTAGCACTCCATTTCAGTGGTTCTGGCAAGTCTTCTATGCAAGGGTCTAACCAGACCATTAACGCTAGAGAGTGTTTCTCTCTTGCAACACATATTTACCAGCTAAGCAGTGAGAGTTTTGTATAATCTGATTGGACCAAAGCTCAGGACTGCCTAGCACATCAGTTGTACTTACCCAAGCAACATTTGACTGTTCTGATTAAAAAAAAATAAATATTGCTTTTAGTCAAATGCTAAGCTGAGGGAGAAATAAACGACAAGTTGTATGGCAAAATTTAATTCTCCGTACACAGAACCATAGTAAATAGCAAGTGACCTCCCCCTGCCCCAAGCATAAGTCAACCAAATTATTCCTGGCACATATTTATCTAAACTGTTCTTAAAAATCTGGAAGACAGTTCATTCCTTCTCCTGGCAATTCATCCTAGTGCTTAACCATCTTCATCATAAAAAGGCCTTTAAAAAAAAAAAATTAAATAAAATTCCAACGCTGCAGTACTTATCCTGATCAACTGTAACCACAAATAGTTTCGTTTATTTCTCCTTGCAGCAACCTTTACATATTTGTTTATGATAATCATGTCTCTCTTCCATTTTTGTCTAAGCTAGACAAACCAAGTTCTTTCCTTTTTTCCCCTCACTGTTCACATTTTCTAGACCTCAAATCATCCTTGTTCCTTTTTCCTGGATTCCTCCCAAATGGTCCATGTCTTTTTTGAAGCCAGATGGACAAATCTGAAAATATTACTCCAGCTGAGGCTTTGCTAGGGCTGTTAGAATGGTAAACAAAATGCTTTGGGTGTCTCATACACAAAACACCTGTTTACATATTGCTAGAATAATGCTAATATATTAGTGAATTATGGTCTGCCTCTGATCTACTGCTGTAGATCTCTGCACCCAAACTTCGGCAGTATGGCTTTCAAGCTAGTATTTCCCCCATTTCATTTCTGCCTTTGATTTCTCTTGCTTAAACACAGTATTTTACATTTCTCCTTTGAAGATGTTTCAACACAGAACACAACTTGCCAAGATTGTTTTGAATCTGACATCTTTCATACAAAGGACATGCTATTTGCCATCTTGATATCCCCTGCAAATCAAAGCGCGCTCTCATTTCTATCACCCAAGTAAAAAAATTAAAATATTTAATAACACTAGACCGAGCACAGGCTCCTGTAAGATTCCTATTGGTATACCCTTCCAGCTGACAAGAGCCACTGGTAATTACTCCTGGAGTGTTTTCCTCACTCAAGTGGGGACTATATGTCCCAGATTGCCTATTTGGATGTCAAGTGACACAGCAACAAAAGCCTCACTAAGGACAGGAAAACCCCACCAGGAGAGCCATTGTGCTGCCATAAAAGGAAATTATGTTTGCTCAATGTTATTTGTTCTTTACAGGTCTCCATCGGTTGTTAATTATCACCATGATATCTATTTAGAAAAAGATTGTTTTGATAATTAACTCCACCATTTTTGGAAACTGAAGTTAAGTCGACAAGTCTATAATTTGTTAGCAGCCCCCCTCTTACAAGATCGTGCCATTTGCTAGTGCAGTAGTCTGATTCAAAACATGCCACTGCCAACTCAAAAGGAATTCAGCATTTAACAGAAACAACTTTATCCTAAAAAATTTCAGCAGTGTATCAGATTGACAACAATCTTCCTATACTGAAATGTGTACGCAATAGACCCTGAGACCATAGTGAAAATTAATATTTGGCCTGTGGAACACAGGGAGAACACTGTGCTCCTGAATCCCGTGTATCAGATTGACAACAATCTTCCTATGCTGAAATGTGTACGCAATAGACACTGACACCATAGTGAAAATTAATATTCAGGGGAGAACACTGTGCTCCTGAATCCCAGTATGGAGAGCCACAGATTAACAAGCCAGACATATGCAGAACTTGAGGGAAAACAATATAAATACAATTCAGTCACAAAATAATCTTGCAATTAATTAATTCAAAACATAAGAAAATATGGCTTTTCTGTACATCAGACAGAGATACTGCCATCTTTCTACTCAGGAAGATTTTAAAGCCATCTCAAATCACCATTACCATGTTTTTTCCTCAATTAAATGTATACTGTGTTCTATTTAGAGATGGACCTTCACCAAAACACTCAATCTGCATATTCATTATAGGCCAGAAATAGAGCCGTCGCAAAGAGACTGAAGATATCCCAGCAGATTCAAATTCAAGATCTGGATTTTTTTAGACCCATCTGTATTATTTTTGTTACATACCATTGTATTTTAGTTACGTATCACCAGCATGTCACTAAAAAACCAGACAATCTCAGAATTCAAACCCAAATCCACAGTTAGCAAAAAAAATCTTTTATTTAAAAAGTCAAACCAAACACTTGGATATAAACGCATCCCAGGAGATTTGAATTCCAGATCCAGGTCAGTTTAGGCCCATCTCTTCAAATGCATTTATGCATCATTCACGGATTCACAGCACGGAAGTTAAGCGTACTGGAAGGGTTCAAGGGCCTGCTTACCATGTTGACCATGTTGTAGCAAGGGAACTAGATCCAGCAGTGTCACCAGTGTCACGTAAAGTCCTTGATAGTCCAAAGATGGGTAGTCTGATAACTGAGCATCACGACTTTGCTGGCCACGTTCAGATGGAGCATCTCGCAGGACGCTGTAAAGGAGGGAGCGAGTAACAGTAGGGTTGATGGAACTGACCTGTGGTCTTAGAGATGGGGTGAGTGGGAATGGCACAGGAAAAAGACACATGGTCATGGGCACTGTCAAATTGGAGGCATCTTGATTCTCCTTCTTCCCTGTGCGGGACAAAATGCTGTTGGGGGGACAAAGAAAAAAAAGAGACAACAAAGACACAAAGAACAGCACATTACATTGAAATGACACTATAAAACAAATAATAAAACACCAGATACATCCCACATAAGATGCAATCGCTACCAAAACCAGTGCGTCTACAAATCTAGCAACCATTCGCTTTCATGCTTCAAGATAAGAGAATTACAAATTGACATCTAGGAAAATTTCATTGCATCTCATGTGTTATCTGGTTCATAAGGAGCAAAAATATAAAAATGCATGTTTCAGTGCCCTACCCATGTTTCACAGTTAAGAAAATTCTGAGAATTAGAAGTGTTTGCTATGGAAAAACAGCTGCGTCAAAATAGGCTGGTATTTCGCTCTGAGATTTTGAGGATTTTGAGAGATTTATTCCCCCCGCCCCCTATAATCTTTTGAGCCAACTGACTGAAAACATGCAAAATATAGGTGTGGCACTTGCAGAAACATGTTTTAGCAAAGAATAAACATGTGTGTTTGTTAAGATAGTCTTAAAAATCACATGTTTATTGCATTAAAATAATGTCTGTATGTATTTTATGATACTGTTTCATGACCACTCACTCAGTATCATTTGAGATAATGAAGTTTAAACAGGCACATGGATTTAGAAATAATATAATATTTCTAAAATGTTAACTAAACTACATTTGGAAAAGTTATAAAATAATATATAGTAGATGGTCTTTAGCATATGTTTGTGAGCTAATGATAATGGTTGTTTATGTGTGTTTTTAATTTTGCCCATGTTTGGGGAGGAAACACTTTACTTTATGAATACAAACACTCCTTGTGTAAATAGTTACCTTCAAAAATCTAAGGGCTAAGCAAGCAAGACCAATTATGTAACTGCAGATCAGACAGTATGTTACCATACATTCCTGCTTTTTTTTCCTGCTGTTACTTACGTTATTATTGAACAAAACTCACTATAAATTAAAGGAGAGATAACTTCAAAAAATAAAAAGGATTTAGTGGGAATCAAAATAGAGGCTATATGTCAACCAGCTTGTTATGTCGTTTTAAGAATGTTGTACATGGTAGTAAGCATGTTAATCTAATTTATTAAAAAATAAAC